GCCCATCGGGTACCCTGTCCCATCAGTGCTGTGTGCCACTGTGGTGGCTGCACCTCCGATTCCGGATCTCCCTTCTGGAGGTGACTTTTTCGTGAGGAGGTACCAGGTTTCCCATGCCAAAACCATGGTTTCCTAGAGCATCCCTGTGGGGCTGCTCCTTGTCCAGTTGGTTTTTACAAGGCCTCTCCCTCTGTGCAGCGGTGATGGGGATGGTGGGCATTCAAAGGCAGGGTACTCTGGGTGGGCCCTTGGCATTATTTCATATGATACCAGGGGAGAAAGAAGAGCCTGAAGAAGGATGGGAGCTTCTTGGCAGACAAGCTGCCAATAACAGTTGTTTATTCTGACACTGTGTTTTAGGGAAAAAGCTACTCCAACTTTATTCTTCTCAAGAGATGATGGGCTGGAAAGTTTGGCCAGAGGCAGGTCCTTGCTTTCTTGCTGGCTGACCTTAAGCAAGTTGCTCAGAGTAGAAGTCCCCAGCAATCTCTTGTGAAACCAATGGGAAATTTGATGCTTAAGAGGGTTTTAGGACTTCACCTGTAGGTTACGGGTCAGAGCTCTATGATGAGAGGAGCAACGTATGAGTACAGCAGCAACTGAGGAGGTCAGGGCTCCCGAGCCTGAGCTAGAGCAGAGCTGCAACGTGAGCTCACACCGTCATGAAACGCAGCTCACAGCCTTGCACGGGAAAGGCAGCTCGCTTGGGACTGCCTGGGAAGGAAGGAATTTTTGGGGTGCTTGGGAGATTCCTGTTCCCTGCGGAGCAGAGCTGGGATAAAGGTCAGCTGCGGCCATGCCAAACCCAACCGCATAGCTCCTGGGTGCCTCGAATCAGACAGGCTCCAAATGTCAGCAGCTGCTGAGCTGGGAAGATGATCCCGAACAATTCTCCTATTAATAGGCTGCGGAGGGCAGGCACGGAGCAGGATGGGGCTCGCTGGCCTCCTTCCTCCAGACGGGTCGCAGAGCATGTTCTCAACGTGATGCGCTGCCCGAGAGAAGGCAGGGGCCAAAATAACTCACCACTCTGCTGTAAGGAGGCAGCTGGCTCCAAGGTGGGTTTCCAGGAGCTGCCTGAGCTGGGGAATTGGGAAGAAAGTCTGGCCAGAGGTCTGGATCAGCATGAGCTTTGCTAGAGAGGGTGCAGAGTCCTCCCCATGCTGTGGTCCCCAGGACATTCCCATCCTGCCTGTGCCAGGACACTGGCTTGGGACAGGCTCCTCCTCCCCATATTGCACCACATCCAGGAAAGCTGGAGCAGAAGCTGGTGTAGATATCGCTCCTCTCATTCCCCACCTAAAAAAGCTGGGATGTTTTTCACTCGCAGTGTCTGGCAAGGTTTCGCTGAAGCACAAGGCAGTCAAGTGACTGTCCGTCTGTCGGGGGACTTACCAGAAAGTGGGGATTAGAGCCACAATGTCCCTGCAGCTCCTGTCCCCTCTGGACGAGGGGAGGTGTGGTGGCACATCAAGCTGGAGCCAGCTCTGCTGGGACACTCCAGCCCCTGGCCCCGTTGTGCAGCAGCCCGAGGCCAACTGCAAAAAAAAATGATGCCTGGGCTGTGCGTGCATCAAAGTTTGACATTTGAGATATTTTTGGCAAACGGGGCTTTACGTGAAGCCAGCTTCATGCTGCTGCAGCCGACGGAACTGGGCCACTCGTGGTGGACTGGGAGACACTCACCCCATGGGGTGCTGCAACGCAAATGCAGGGTTTGGGTTTGTGGGGTGCAGGGGAGTGTGGTGGCCTGGGGCATGTCGGGGTGTGTGGGGTGGGTGTGTTGGGATCCCCATGGGCTGGGTAAAATCGGAGGCGACTGCTCTGTAAGATGCACTTGGGGTGCAAAAAAGTTGGGGCTCAGCTGTTGCTTATGGGGCTTGAGCCTGCGGTTTAGCCTGTCTGGCTGCAGGGTTTGGTCAGGTCCTGATTTTGCCATAGGAGCGGTGGAACAGGAATTGCTCTTTGCGAAGCAGATTTGGGGAATATGTAAGAGAGGTTTTCCTCGGGTGGCCCTGGGAGGCAGCACAAACCAGGCTTTGCAGATGCTCCTCATCCTGCCGAGGTTTCTCAAAGTGAATTTGCTCCCGGAATCATAGGATCGTAGAATGGTTTGGGTTGGAAGGGACCTCAAAGATCATCTAGTTCCAACCCCCCTGCCATGGGCAGGGACACCTTCCACTACACCAGGTTGCCCAAAGCCTCATCCAACCTGGCCTTGAACACTTCCAGGGATGGGGCACCCACAGCTTCTCTGGGCAACCTGTCCCAGTGCCTCACCACCCTCATTGTAAAAAATTTCTTCCTTAGATCTAATCAAAATCTCCCCTCTTTCAGTTTAAAGCCAGGTGTCTTTATCTGATTTTTGGGGTGTTAGAGGTTTTCTGGATAAAGAATCGGAAGGAAAAAAGGCAGCTGGCACAGCCGGGCATCGCGCGGCGGAGGTTGCCGGTTCTCCACATCCCCAGGCTGCGCAGGGGCAGAGGGGGCCGCGGGCACGCGGGTACCCGTCACCCTCGAGAGCAGAGTCCGTGGGCAGGCGGCTGCTGGCGCAGCTGCTCGCATGGCACCTGCCCAGCGCTTCGGGCCGGCGGCAGCAGGCGGGAGGAAGGGCTGAGTCATCCCGTGCATCACGTGCGGCTCCGTCACCGCCTGGATGGATCCATGGTCCAGCCGAGCAGTTAGCCGGGCGCTGGGGCCGGCTGCGTGGCAATAGGTGCAGTGCCCTGGGAAGGATCCCTCTGCAAATGTGTCCCCAGGCTCCTCCTGCCACTGTCACCGAGGAGGGCAAGCGGTGTCGGATGTGACCCCACGAGGGTCTGCAGGCTGAATTTCCCAGAGGGACCTGGCTCTTCCCTTCACTCCTTCCCAAAAGCTGTGCAGACTGCCGGATGGGATGGGATGGGATGGGAAACCAGCCTTGGCATAGCTGTGTCCTCCAGGGATGGCTGTGAAGCTGGGGACACTCTGGGGGTCCCATTTCACCCCTAGCCCAGCCCCATCCCAACATTGGCGTTGATGCCCAAGGGAAAAGCCGCATCCCTAACGTGTGCAATGGAGCTGGGACACACGGGCAGCGGTTTACATCAGAGAGGGAAAACATTATCCAAACCTCTCCATGCAGCGGAAGGGGGAATGGCTCTGCAGACTCTGATCCCTGTTCATTGTATCAGGGTCATTTCAGAGCCAGGACTGGATTTTTCTTGACGGCAAACCCTACAGCTTCCAGATGTGCAGCATCACCCCAAGAAATTACTGCCGTTCCCTGCATCAGAGCACAGCCTCTGCTGAGCACGTTTCCCTGCCTCTCTGCCTCTTTTCTGGCCAATTTTAGTTTCAAGGGTCCAATTTAGGGCAGGAGCAGAGAGAATCTGCGAAAAACGATCCTGCCCCTTGGCAGCCCTAGTGCAAGTGCTGGGTTTCCAGCATCTTCCTAAGCCAGATTTTAAAAACCAAACACTGGAGGGGTGATACCAGGAGCGAGCAGGGAGAAGCACCTGTCTGGGGCTCACCTGGAAGAAACTCAGTTCCCAGGAGTGAAGTTTGGGTCCTTTGTAGCTGGAACTCATCTGGAGACCCTGTGGTCCCTGTGCTGGAGGCATCATTGGTGGAGGGCAGGATCCAGGTGGCTGGAGCAGCACCCATGGGTTGGTGTTGGAAATGGGGGCTGTGCGTTTGCTGGTTTGAACCACTTCCATCCTTTTTCTCCTGTTAATGGATATTTTGCATGTTTCTCGGAGGGAGTGGGGAGATTGAGTAAGGAGGTGCAGATAAGCCTGTGGGACTGGTGAAGTGGAAAGAGCTCCCCAGCCCCCAGGTGAAGCCAGGACATGGCTGGGCTGACTCCATGAAGGTTGTCCTGGTGGGACATCTCTCTGGGATCTCCTCTGGATGCTGAGGACAGACACGCTCAGTGCAATGTTGTTGCTGCTCTGTTTCCAGATGCCTTGGTTCAAAGGCTGGAAGGTGGAGCGCAAGGAAGGCAACGCCAGTGGGGTGTCCCTCTTGGAGGCCTTGGACACCATCCTGCCCCCGACCCGTCCCACAGACAAACCCCTGCGCCTGCCCCTCCAGGATGTCTACAAGATTGGAGGTGAGCAAAAGCCTTGCTGCTGTCCCTCTTCCCTCTGCTTTAACCAGAGTCTTCATTCCATGAGAATCTGGGAATGATCTTTCCAGGTATTGGGAAAAGGGGCTGGACTCCTCAAACTTGATATAAAGTTGGGGAAAAGGGTGTTAGCTCCAGGGTGAAGTCCCCATTTGAGATTGGGCTGTCCGGGTGGGAGGTTGACATGCCCAAAGGTGCTCAGGGACCGGAAAAGAGCGGCAGGTTTGTGGGCTCTCCCCAGGGAACACACGATGCCAAAACGCCTGCGGATTTGGATGTTGCAGAGGTCACGGCTGGCAGGGCGGGTTGGAGGCAGCAAGAACGTGCTGGGGCCCAGAGGAGGGACAAGGTCGATGGAGAGGGCCACCAGTGAGGCCGGTGTGCGGCGGCTTGGCCGCGGTCTGCCCGTGCTTCCCAAATGCTGGTGTCCATCACTGGCACCTCCGTCTGCCGAGCTGGACCGCGGCACCAGCCATGTAGGGAACGTGTTGGCCGGCGCGTCTTCGTTCCCCTCCGGAGCGGTGATGGGGACACTTTTCTGAGCTATAAATACCCCGTGAGCTCTCTGAGCTGCTGGCAGCAGTCTGACTCCCCGGCTGCCAGATCAGGCAGGCACGGCCATTTCCAGCCCTTTTCCACACTTTTCCAAGGACACGTGTGCTGCAGAAACCAGGCAGGGATGGATCCTGGGTTTCAGCAGGCTTTTTAGTGCAGTCTTTTGTTTGCAACGGAGATGAAGGGTGGTGAGCAGGTCTGTGTCCTGGCTCAGCTGGGGCAAAGAGATATGGCTTTGCCATGAGGCAGGTCCTTAGGGAGCAGAGACACCGTGGGAGGTAGCAGGGTGGATGTGGAGGAGCGGATGGGTCCAGCCAACCTCTTCAACCTCTTTTCAAGGTTGTTTCTCTTAATCAACTCATCTGAGTCCGAAGGTTAGTTTTCCCAAAGTTTCCTGATGACACAGGCTGTAAAAGGTCGTCTTCATGTAATTAACCAGCCTCGTTCCCTGGCACAGCCGGGCCTGGTCCCATGCTGATGGTGTGGCCATCAAGGATGTGGAATGTTGGTGTTGCACGTATGCTGTGATGTGCCCAGTCCTCCATGCAGGAGATGCCACAGCTGCTACAAAGGAAGAGCTTTCAGGGCCTTCTGATCATGGTATTACTCCTTTTTCACAAAACATTGGGTAGAAAGGACAGACTCATGGTATTTTCGAAGACCCTAATGTTGATCTTGCAGCTAAAAACTGGGGTTTTTTTGGCAAGAAGCAAACGTGGTCTTTGGTGAAAGCCACTGGAGATATCTTGCATTTGCTGCAGCCAGGCTCTGGCCCAGGGATATGCCAAGTGGGTTACATTTTGCTCTGCTATGTCCTTGTCTCCGCAGGGATCGGCACGGTCCCCGTGGGCCGGGTGGAGACAGGCATCCTGCGGCCCGGCATGGTGGTCACCTTTGCACCCGTGAACATCACCACTGAGGTGAAGTCCGTGGAGATGCACCACGAGGCCCTGAGCGAGGCTCTGCCTGGGGACAATGTTGGCTTCAACGTGAAGAACGTCTCCGTCAAGGACATCCGCCGCGGGAACGTCTGCGGGGACAGCAAGTCAGACCCGCCGCAGGAGGCAGCGCAGTTCACATCTCAGGTCAGCAGAGTGGATGGTGCCACCAGGAGTGGTTTGCCACTGTCCTCCAGCTCCCAACCTTGCCCTGACACTCCTCTGTCTCCCAGGTGATCATCCTGAACCACCCTGGCCAGATCAGCGCCGGCTACTCGCCCGTCATCGACTGCCACACCGCACACATCGCCTGCAAGTTCGCTGAGCTGAAGGAGAAGATCGACCGGCGCTCCGGCAAGAAGCTGGAGGACAACCCCAAGTCCCTGAAATCGGGCGATGCGGCCATCGTGGAGATGATCCCTGGCAAGCCGATGTGTGTGGAGAGCTTCTCCCAGTACCCACCCCTTGGTAAGGGAACGGCTCTTTTGAGGTCTCCTGCAGAGGAGCATGAAGTCTCTACGATTGTAGAGCTCACACCAGCCATGCTGAATGTCTCCCAGTATCCCCCACCAGTTAGACTGGAGAGGGAGCTGAGCATGTTTTGTTACTCCCCTATGTGCTGGGGGTGCAAAATCTGATGCATGAACTTTGTTAGGGCTGATGGAGTGGGAGGGGCTTTCTGCTGAGCTGGGTTTCCAAAGGCAGGGCTGGATCTTCCCTTTAGGAGCCACTGGGTCTTTCCTTCAAGGTTCCTAAACCCTGATAGTTTCTGAATGCAGAAATATTTTTCAGCTTCCCCTCTGGAGACGTTCAAGGCCAGGTTGGACGAGGCCCTGAGCAACCTGATCTAGTTGGAGATGTCCCTGTTCCGTGCAGGGGGTTTGGACTAGATGACCTTTGAAGGTCCCTTCCAGCCCTAACCATTCTATGATTCTATGATTCTATGATCTCTGCCCTGAACCACAACTGGTCAGGAGAAAAAAGAGGGAAGTCTGCTCATCAGAGGACACCTTTTAATGCAGGGAAGTGCCATGCTTTCCTTGGATGATGTTGCACATCTGGAAGCTTTAGCAATGCTGGGAGCTTGCAGAGCAGATGGGATTCACGTTTAATAAATAGGCATTTATACAGAGAGGAGCATCAGGGCTAGGTCAGCCGTCAGAGCAAGGGCTGATGGCTCAGGGCTCGTTCCTGCAGGAACCTGGGCTGATGGCTCAGGGCTTGTTCCTGCAGGAACCTGCTCCCAGGACAGGCGTGACGCGTTGCACCACGAGTGGTGGGTGCAGATCCCACCATCACCCACCCAGAAGAGCTCAGCCTTAGGGAGGGCAAGGCGGTCGCGTTTCGCTCACGTCCCCCCGTCTCTCCACCCCCCAGGCCGCTTCGCTGTCCGTGACATGCGGCAGACCGTGGCCGTGGGCGTCATCAAGAACGTGGAGAAGAAGAGTGGTGGGGCCGGTAAAGTCACCAAGTCTGCCCAGAAGGCCCAGAAGGCTGGCAAATGAATCGTGGGCTCCCCGTGCATCGCGCAGAAACCATCCCTGACACCAGGACGCTGCCACCGTCTCCCCCGGGCGCATGTGTGCACATCAGCTTGTAAGAGTTTATATGTCAACGACTGGATGCTCACCATTAAGGTCCAGTGGAAATTCTTTAAAAGGAAAAGCATGTTCCAGCGTTTGTGAGGCTTCATGTTAATTTTACCAATAAAACTGGTACAACATCCACAGTGGAAAAAAAAAATCCAAACAAACAAACAAAAAAGAAACAACAAAAAAGACCCCAACCCAAACCAACCAAGCCCAAAGGTGTGAAGCTCTGTGTGTGCGTCTGTCATTGAGAGGGGCTGGTTTTGGTGGGTTTCGTGTGGTCCCACTTAGAGCAGATGGTGGGGACAGGCACAGACAGGGCTGGGATGGAAGTCTGGAGGAAGGAGGAGAGCTCAGCACCCATATTCAGGGCTTCACGCAGCGCCCAGCCCTTCCCCAGCTCTCGCCCCTCGACCGAGTGTCTGGGCTGATTCTCCCAGCCTAAAGCAGGGGCTGCTGTCACGGCAGTCCAGGTTTTGATATGCTCCTTAACCTGCTCAACCTTCTACTATCAATTATCACGGCCTTCATTATCATTTTTTTCCATGGAAAATAAGCTGAAGTTAACCCCCTAAAGTTATGCCATTTAAAGAGAGAAAATAGCGTACCCCGTGCCTCCTGGAAGGGCTAGCAGCATCGCAGTTATTCTTTATAATACCCCATCATTTGAGGAGAAGTGGCCAAGGCTGCCTTCTCTCTACACCTTTCTTTGCCTTACGCATGGTGGATCCTCCAGCTCTTTCCAAACTACATGACAGGAATGTTTCTCCCCAACTAAGCCACGTGCTGGAGCCCAGATGTGACTCAGGACTCCCAAGAAACCCCAAAACTCACGGTCTTTACCCAGGATGGTGTCTTGGCTCGCGTTGCAAACTTGCAGCCCGGGACAAGGTCTGCAGCTCTCCCCGCTCCACCCTGTGCCAGCTGTCCCAATCCAAAGGGTTGTGCTTGCTGAGTGGTTAGGGTTGACCAAAACACAACAGCCAGGAGCTCTGAGGGGGAAAAGGTGGGAGCACCGAGCGTGGGGAGGAGCGGGAGGTGGTATGGAGGGCAGGGAGGTGGAGGGAGGAGATGTGAGGGTGCTGCTCCTACCCTGCTACAGTGCTCCGGGGACACTCCCAAGGGACGTTTCCTCCTCGAAGGTGGGGTTAGCAGCATGCTGGAGCATCCTGAGGTTCTCTGTGCTCCTGATTCAGCTTTTAGTAGAAGCCACAGTGCCGGGAGCGCGTGCCATGCACGGGCTCTGTGAAGGACAGCATCATGCGATGTCCTTCCCAGGAGAGCTCCAGAGGCACAAGTATCATTCCTGTTTGTGTTGCAGGAGCTCTTAATGATCTTAATTAACATCTGACGCTCTGCAGTGCTAAGTGCCCCCAAGCAGAGCCTCAAGGAGAGAGCCCTGCATGAAGCCACCACCGCCTGCTCCTCCGACACCGTCCCCATCCCCTGACCCGCTCCGGCAGCAGACGGACACGTTCTGCCTCCCTGAGCCACCTTCCCCAAAACTCTGAGCACAGGCCACCGAGGCTCCTCACCCCTCTTCACACCCCCGGCAGCCACCAGCTTCCTCCATCGAGACTGATTTGATGCCCAAGATCTTTGCAGCACTTGGGCTCTACGAAGTGCCGTGTCCTTGGCATGCCTCAAATTGGAAGGGGATCTGGGGATCCCTCCAGGCGCAGCACGACCGTGGGAGAAGGCTGTTTTCCCACTGATGGTTTAATCTCATTTTCCAGCTCCTCCTGCATTTCCCAGCTCCTGAGGCATGTTGTCCTTGAGCCAGCACAGCAGATTTGTGCCCCTTCCTGGGTATTTCCAAGCCAGGCAGGAGAACATCATCATGTGCGTGATTTTTTCCTTCATCCTCAAAAGCAGCAGGAACAGGGACTCCTGCGGGAACATCCTTCCCATGCTGTGCAGGAACTCCAGCTCTGCAGTCCCCAACGGGAGCCCATCCCTGGCACAGCAGGAGTGGGGACATCCTTGGGGTCAGGTGAGGGACAGAGAGGAGCAGGCACAGAGTCTGCCCCTGGTCTGCTAGAGCTATTTGAAAAGCAAAAGCAAGTTTGACAAAAGCACAGCCACGTTTCCATAGAAATATGCCAGGGGAGCTGTGAACGATGCTCTGGGAGCGATGCACAAGCGGTGCGGTAATTAACGGTGTAGCTGCAGAGAAGAAAAACATAAACCCCAGAGGATTTAACTCCAACTTGCTCACGGCTCACAGCAGGTCTGGGGTTTCAGCCCAGTTTCAGGGCGGTTGGTACCTCAGGTAATCTGCAGGATCAGGAGGAAGAGACAAGCCCTGAAGTGAGGTGTCTGCAGCTGCGGCATCCCCTGGTTTGGGAGGTTTGGGTCAGGCTCTGCAGAGAGCCAGAATAAACAGAAATGTTCTAATTTAGACCCACTTCAACGCATGAGGTTCAAAAAAAACCCAATTAAGTATGTCAAATTTCTGGGGATCTCAAACCAAAATCAAATGAAGCCATGCCCTGCCTCTACCCAAACCTTGGGTTGGAAGACTCGTTGCAGATCTGGGTTTGGGACCGGATCAATGACCTGCCATGTGCAAATCGTTGTAGGACCCTGCAGGGCTCGGAGGCACTCTGGGAACAATGCTCTGTTTGGGGTGGGTGACCCATTTTGGGTTTCTACCAAAATTCTAAGCAATCCAGCGTCACCCTGAACTGGGCCACAGATGGCTTTTGGCAAACCCTGAAGAGAACTCGAGTTGACTCCAGAGCCACCAACACCAGGGGAAGGCACGTGGGTGTTGTGCAACCCGTGGCAGGTGGTATACAGGGCTGTGCTGACGAGATGCATTTTAAAACACTGACTTCTCCTCCTCACCATGGCCAGGTGTGCTGGGACCTCACAACCGAGAACTCAGAGGTGTTTTTCCCAGCAACTTTTTTTTTTTTTGGAAGCATTTTCCATCGCTGTCTTCCTCTCGGGCGCCGCGGTGGATGGTTCCTCTCCGCAGCAGTCTCAGAGATGCCATCTGGTGGAAACAAGGGCAAAGTCCTTCTGGAGCAGCTACCAAGGAGAGGAAATCCCGTCCCGCATCCCACCTCTGCAAAGCCTGGCCCTGGCAGGCAGCATGTCCATAGCGAAGCGAAGTGGAGCTGCAAAGTGCTTATTGTTGTTTCTTTGGAGACCAGAGTTTGCAAATGTGATTGTATTACCTGAAATTTAAAGCTCGTGGGGGGAAAATTACTAAAGGTTGCAGGAAAGTCAAAGAGCATCAGAGCTGGCTTTCTCTTCAACAACTGGTCAGCTCCTCAAGAGTGTGTTTGAGGAACCAATGGACCTAGAAGAAGAGGGAAGGAGAGGGAGGTGCAAGGGGATGGATGTGGACAAGCATCCAGTTTCCAAAACGGACATCATCTCCAAGACACACGCACATTCCGTGCACAGCACTACACCGATGCTTCGTTGGGGTTTCCTGATGGAGAAGGGAAGACGCCATGAATGGGACCATCCTCCAATATGTGAGCAGACATCTCTGCCAGGCCCCAGCCTGCAGCTGGCCGCACTGATGGCACCCACTGGAGAAGGAGGAATGAGTAACTTCTCCTTTCCCACCTCCACCCCACAGGCCTCGTGTCTGGCTGTGCACTGTTAATAATTTAAAGTAAGTTTCCTTAATCCACCGGAGCCGATTGGCCAACTCAGCAGGCACTTTGGGCTGCTCTGAAAAATTTATAAGGCTTTTGCAAGACTGCAAGTGGAATCCACGCTGCAGATGCTGAGCTGGGTGAATTCGAGCTGCCCGCTGCCCTTCCGCACTCAGAGGCGAGTTAAAGCACCAGCCACAACCCCCCGTCTGCCTGGGCACGTCCTGGCAGAGACCTGGCACAGGCAGCACGTCACCAGGCACGGTGCCAGCCTCCGGCACGCTGGTGCGGAGCATCACGTGGTGGTTTGGACTCATGAGAGAGCCTCTCCGGTTAAGGCAGCTACTTTCCCATTGCTCCCTTCATCTGTCACCAGTTTCCCAGTACGTTTTGCTGACCCTGAACCCCACGTGGGCAGTGAGGTCCTGCCTGTCTCATGTTGACTCAAAAGTCATAATGACATCTGGGGCATTTTGGTAGTGTTTGAAAATGTACCCTGCTATGGAGGAAAACCAAGCAGGCATCTCCTGACCTTCCATCATGTCCCTGCTACCTTGGAATCAGATGCCACCAACTGCCAGGGAGGCCAAGGTGCACATCCAGCACCACCAGGGCACATCACTCCAATGGGTCCTGCCATCGCCTGCTGGCGATGGAGTTGCTGAACCATCTACGGCAGAGGAGGATCGATGCAGATGCAGCATGAAGTCCATGACTTCGTGACCTTGGAAAGTGAGTCCATCCCTGACCAACGCCTTTGCCGGGGGGCTGCGCCCCAGCAGCAGCCACCTGCCTTCTCCTCGATGGTTCCACAGCACGTTGTGCCTTGCAAAGCCACGCTGGTAGTGGGCGGCTCTCCATCCAGCATAGACACAAACCACCTCCACTCTGCTCCCCAGCACATATTACCAGGCTCAGCCCCTTCCCAGAGGAGATCTGCACGGTGCTGACACCCAGGTCTGAGCAGACAGGGTTGGGGCAAGCGGCTGGCCCCACAGGGCTATGGAAAGCCACAGGCAGGAGCTCTGTTCTCCCTGGGCTTTTCATCCTTAGGACCAGCTTTCTGCACAGTTGTGCTGGTAGCACAAAACCCGCCGGGTAAACCTCCTTGGGAGACAGATGCTGGGCCAAATCAGAAGGCGGAAAAAAGGCTGATCAGGCCGGAGGAAACCCTCCCACACCTGGGTGGGTCTCGTCTCTCCATCCCTGCTTCTATCATTCCCCCTTCGCAAAGCGCATCACCTGCCCTTGGCCAAATCCTGCCCCAGAGAGGTACCAATTCAGGGAGAAGGGTAGCAAGGGCCACCCTCCCAGCATTTTTTAACAAGTAGTGGACCAAACCTGGGAGGTTTTAACTCATTTCCTTTAACCATCTCCCTCTGCATCCACACTTTTGGCGTAAGCGCCAGGGCAGCGCGAAGCAGCAGCTCTGGGCAGGACGATGCGCCAGGTCCCATCTTCCTCTTGGCCTGTGCCTTCACCCTCTTGCAAAGATATTGCTGATCTGAAGGAGAAACCTGAGC